CATTTGTCCTGAATTCTTGTATCTATTTGAACAGTGATGTCTCCTCGCCTTCATTCCCTGTTTAATTGAGCCAAGCGGTGGCTGCAGTCACTGACAGTGAAGGGATATAGGCGGGTAAGAACGGCAAGCTGAAGCGTCTCTCGGCGTTCCTAGAATCAGAAGGGTCTGCGGACACAGGACCTACCCACCTTCAATCAACTTTTGCAATACAGACAATGTGCCGCACTCAAAAAAAACCCCCAGCCTCAGTGGTTTAGTCATTTATCCAGCGTGGGCACAGTGTGAAGTCCTCTCTGAGAAGATCCCACTGCTAGACCGAGGCACACGATCTCATTCTCCAACAAACTGGAGCTGCTCAGCCAGAAACTCACACGTTTCCGCTCCTTCTCCCTCCGCCCCCACACTCGCCTCATGAACCCCAGAGAGGGCAGAGCCTCTCTTCATAAATGTGGTTCTTGCTTTGTAGTCGAAGGACAGCAGAGAAGGAAGGGGCTTCAGAAAACACTGCGGTATGTGTGTGTGTGGCAGGGGGGAGCCGGCAGGGTTTTACCTGGCTTTAATGAGATTCCTTTCCGAGAGAAGGTCTCATTCTTCACCTCCCTAACTGTGCTCAAAGTTAAGAAGATTCCTCTACTCCACACTGGATGAGGAGAAAACACGGGGCACTCTGTGGGTGCTGGTTTCGAGGGCTCACTACTCAAGCATCAAAGGGAAGTAAATGATATTCACCAGCTGTGGGGTACTCCTGCCTCTATACTCTTCCCACATTTTGTTTTCTGCTATTCAAAAGTTCCCCAAACCTAAATATGATTCTGAACAGATGGTGGCACCTGTAAAGAGCAGCAGAAAAAGAACGGGCTGGTTAGTTCGAACCAATACGCAAAATTCAGTTCCCATCCATCAGGGCTTCTTGAACCCAGAGTCTCAAATGGAGGTGAAGAACTTATTTGAGACAGCACATCTGAGATATCTGTAGTGGATTATACAGTGTGTGGATTGTCTTGTTCTAGACAAATGGAACCACTCATTGGACCAGGACATCAAAAAGGGTGTTTTAAGTCTTTTACAAGGTTTTATGCTTCAAGGGGGATAAAAGCAAAATCTGCCAGCGCTGACACTGCAGCTTCTTTCCCCACTCCCCACACCAACCCTTCAACAGCTCACTCTCTTTATATACTGACTTCATTTTAATAAATCCTGAATTGATTCCCTCCCTTTCACTGGGGCAGACAAACTCAACTGCAATTCTAATTATATTGTCAAGACAGATTAATGTCCCCCAGAGAGGTTAAAGGAAGAATTGTTATTTAACGTAGAGAGGTGATGATCTGGTGACCTTTCTTTCTGGCTCTCTGTTTAGGACTTGACCATTTATTAGAAGAGAGAAAGGGAACCCGTTTTGTCAGGGAAGGTCAGGGAAAGCGGAACTGGCACATTTCAACCAAAGGAAGGAAGAGATATAAATCTGCTTGGCTGTAGAAAATGAATCAAAACTGATCCTTGGATGAAATCCACTAGTTTGATCAACATTAGGAAGGCATTATTCAAGCCAATTGAGTGAGATAAAAGATGCCCAGGTTTCTTGTGGCAAAAAAGGACACTCAAGAACCGGTTCTTCTCATAAGAACATGAAAAGGAGATCTAATAAAAATAACCTTGGAGCAACTTGACATGAAGACGTGGATCAAATTTAGATTGCTTATATACTGATTTTCCTGTTCACTCAAGGCACTTTACATAAGTTATAGCAATATCTAATAACCAAAATGGCAAAACAGTTTCAAAACCAACAGCTACTAGTTATACACATTATCTCAGGTGTGTCAAACAAAAAGCCAGGGTCCAGGGCTCTTACCTGGCCCACAAGCAACTGGTATGCATGGAAATATAAGGTATTTTGTGGTATCCCTTGGAAAAACCTCGGTTATGATCACACAAGAAGTTTGGCCTGATGCAGCCACTCCTCCCCTCCGGATCAAATGGGCGCAGTCACACAGCCACATCTGTCAGGCATTCCCCAGCTATACTCATCCCATCATAGGACGACTTGGAGCCGGGTTAAAAAGGCGCCACATCACAAGTGGTGTTTTTGGTTCTTCGCGCAGTCATTGCGCATGGCCGGATGTTTGAACACGGGGGAGCGCGTGCAGAATTGCCTGCAATCTGAACCTGCAGATCTGTTCCGCTGCTAGGGAGGGTTTTTAATTTTTTTGCTTATATGCACATGTGCATGCATGCACATGAGTGCAGCACATGCACCTATGTGCACATATGCATTTTGAATTTTTTGGGGGGCAGCGTGCTCCGTGGCTGAGGTGCTGCAGTAATGTGGATGCTTGACCACGGGATGTCTGCGTGGGTAACCCGCAGCAGGGTGTGCTGTTTCTGATATGCCCCACAACACTTTAAACCAGCACAATTAGAGGTGGCACCATATCGCGCCAAGCTGCCAGTGTGACCACAGCCCTAGTCTTGCATATGGGCTCCCCAGTAAATTGTTTTCACTGCTAGAAATTAATTGCTTTTATTTGTATTTTGAGTAAAAAATAATATTGTTAATTGGGTTGGCTGGAATCCTTTATAAAGTTTTTATCTCTGGTACCTGGCATTACATTTTATGGCACACATGGCTCGGCCTGACAAAGTGACATTTATGTCAGATCCAGCCCTCATAACAAATGAGTTCGACACCTCTGCACCCACCTAGTCCAAAAACCACAGAACCCATAGATGGAACTCTCTACATTCACCAAGCCAGTATGACTGTTCTAAACGCTTTGAGACAAAAAGGTTTTACTCACTCTCCCAAATACAGCAATAGAGACGGCCTGCAACACCTCTTCAGGTAAAGCTTTGCAAAAACAGAAGGAACCCAGGGCACTCACAGGCTGAAGTGAACGGGAAGGGCGAATGCTGCTGAACATACAGTGGGGGGCATGCAAGGCAGACTTTGCTCCCCATAAGAGAAAAGGAGGCAGCCCAGCCCATTTGAAAGGACAATTGGCATCTGTCTCTTTAGAGCCCATTGCCTATCCCAATGACAGCTGAAAGACTTAGCATCAGGCATCATTACCCTTCTGCTTCCTAATATTTTATTTTCCTAGCCCCCCTTCTGTAAAAACATAACCAATTAAAGCCACCTAGGCTAGGCACAGGGAATAATCATCAATGCAAAGAGCCAGCACACGACTAGACATTCCTATTCCAGCCACCCTTATCAGAGTTAATTCAACTCTGCTTAGAATGGGGCTGTATATCAAAGCAGCCAGTGCGGTGCACTACTTAGAACACTGGAGTAAGACTGCAGAGATTAAGCTGTTGCTTTTACAATGTAATTGTATTGTTTCTTACGGCCTCATAGGTCATTTGAACAGACAGCTGATTCTGGGGAATGGAGCAAAATATTTAAGTGTACTGAAAACAAAGGGTGGATGCAGAGTGAAGTAAACACACTCTGAAAATCAGAGCTGCCACAAGGGGAGGTGTTCATAAGTAAGCCCTCCCCCTTGCCCCATCATTATGCATATTGGGATGAAACTGGAACAGGAACCTCAGAAATAATCTAAATTTGTAACTCGAAACAAACTTAAGATTTAGTTACAACAAGGTATTGGAAAATCAGAGAGAGAGGGTGTTTTCGGATAGCTGAATTTACTTTTCCATCTCTAACAATCCATCCATCTCCTAGACAGTTCTGATCAGAGGATAAAAGAAGAACATGCCACACTGCTACAGGGGGAAAAGGATGCAAACAATGGAATTGATTTGAGTCACAGGATATGCGACACCAGAACTACCTAACAAAGTTCTTTTGCAAGGGTTTCTTCTGCTCTTCAACCCCAAAGCAAAAGTCTGGGTAAAACAGCCTCCCCCCAGAGCACTGGAGAAAGCCATTGTCATTCATAATATGATGCCAGTTTGGTGTAGTGGTTAAGTGTGCGGACTCTTATTTGGGAGAACCGGGTTTGATTCCCCACTCCTCCACTTGCATCTGCTGGATAACCTTGTGCAAGCCGTAGTTCTGACAAGAGCTGTCCTTGAAAGGGCAGTTCTTGAAAGAGCTCTCTCAGCCCCACCCACCTCACAGGGTGTCTGTTGTGGGGAGGGGAAGGGAAAGGAGTCTGTAAGCCACTCTGAGCCTCCAAGTGAAGGGCGGGATACAAATCCAATCTCTTCTTCTCTTCTGCTACCTGCCCTGAGCCCGTTTGCAGGATGGGTGGGATATAAATACAATAAATAAATAAAATATCCAGGTTGACCATTAAACCCAGACCATTTTTTTCCCCTCAGCAACCCATTCCACTGTGCCTCAGAGTAAAGAAAGACAAGTTGGTACATATGACCAGCAGAGAGGGGATGACACATGCAAGCACCTCAGACTCTTAAACCAGATCCTGATGAATATGACATGGCCCAGAATTGTTTTTTTAAAAAAACCTGTGTCATGATCTGGGCTGTTCCACCAGAGGCCTACTAGGCCCAGGGAGCCTGGCTAGCAGTAGGTGAGGCTCGGCCTACAATTCCCAGAAGCCCCTGAGAGGTTTTGGAGCCAAAATTGACCAATAGGAAAAGAGGAGGGCTTGGAATAAAAGATCTGGTGCAGCAGGAAAAGCTGTTCTTCTTCCCAGAGGGCAGAGCCAGAAGGAAGGCTGCTGTGGGGAAGAGACCCTCATCCTGAGGGAAGGGTGAGTAGTCTACTGTCACTTGGAATAGTGAGCTAGGGATATATTTAGACGTGTTAGGGCATTTGATTTATTTTCTTTTCACCCACTTACTGTTATAATTCTGCACCTTGTTTGTTTGACCTCTTATAAAATAAACTATTTTCATTGTTCACTCTGCCTGATCCTCATGCCTTAATTCGGCCAAAAGGGAGGTCAGAAGGTCTTGGGAAGGTGCTCTGGGCCTTCTCAAGGGAGTCTGGAACCAGAGTGGTGGCAGCATCAGGTGACACCCCACCTGAGCCGTGACAACCTGCTTAAAAATGTCTAAATCCTTACCAGTTTGTCCAGGAAGACCACCAGATCCTACGGAAAGAAAAAACAGAAGGAGGTCAGCAGCCCTCCAGGTCTTTCCTAGCAACCAGCTGCCTCCTGTGCTCTGCAGCCACTCTGGCAGCTTTGCACAGGTCAACATCAATCGTGACTGGTACCAAACCTACTAGGGCTACATTGAATTGTTGTCTGAATTAGGCCCCATCAGGGAAAGACTTCGCTTTTTGAGCTCCTTAGGGGAAACACACACACGGGGGGGGGGGGGGGGGCGGGGACGACGACAGCTGAACAAAAATTACAGCCCTCGGTCGTCTTATTGGGACGTGGCAACAGAACTTCATTGCTCTCTCGAAGTTGAAATAGTCCTCTTTCCCTCAACCCCCCAAGCCTCTCTTTCTTCCTCCTCCACCATCACCCTTACTCACCCAACTTGGAGTCCATCCTTAAGTCCCTTCAGTTGGTTTACAGCACCTGGCTCACTGCTGGCACCATAGAAGAATAGGGTCAGCAGCTACTGTTCTACTTTTCCCTCAGCCACACCGCAATGACAAGGAATGTCATTAGCGGAAGCCTTATTGGACATGGGAGGAGGAGGGGCTCTTGCCTCCCCCCACCCCCGCAATTTCTCCAAGCCAAAACAGGTCAAGTGGGAATGTATTTCCCCATTTTTGCAGTCGCGTGTGAGTTGGACTTGCCTCTTTAAAATGCATTGTGTCAAGTTTGGCCTTCAGAAGTACTCATTCGATTGTTATGTTGTTGAGATGGAGCCATGCTGATGAGGTTATCTGCCCAATACATTTTTTAAAAGCTAAACTTCACTTATGTATTCTTAACCCCCCCCCTTCCTCCTCCCGTAATCTCATCACATTCCCACCCCCAAGCTCTTGGTCACTTAAAATGTTTGCACAGGACCAAAGTGAGAGAAAACACTTCAGGCATAAGCAACACAGAACACATTCGGAACATGATTGACCTACCTTGCATATTTCTTGCTGGGAGTATTCTTCTATGTCTGCAACAACAGAATGAATTATTTAAGTCACTGTAGTGTCCTTAAAATTATTTTTAATGTTTCAAAAGCTGCCACACGCCTCTCGGCATCAACACCACATCTTCCAGGCTGGGAAGGAGCTTCCCACGCAGCTGGTTTTGCCGCTTTCCACTGAACGTGTGCGGCCTTGTGCATAAGAAGATGAAACTCTGGTCCTTCCATAAGAAGGCTACAAAAGTATGATGCCCCCGAAAGCGGACTCTCCATGTAGCCATTATTTACAGACAGTCCTGCTCCCTACAGTGCATCCGATCTGTATTGTATTTGCGTCTGGTCCTTCCAACATCCTAGGATTACACTTTTTAGGCAGCTTGCCTAGGTCAGGCCAAAGTATTCTGTTAGAGCTGGAAATCCTTACTTCTTACCCAAAGCCAGCTATGTGTACCACACAGGCCAACCTAAACATTAAAAGCAGCCCCTGAAGGATGCAATCTGCAGCGGGGAGGGGGGTTGGCACTGCTTGTTTGTTCTCCCCCCCCCCCAAGTGCTTCTCCTCCAGCAGGGTTCCAAGATGCAGTTGGGTAAACCCACACCAAGAACTCCCAAAGAGAGAGAAAGCAGGCATGGGCAGGGCAGATTTTCAGCAGAAAAGCTACTTGCAACGAATGGGTTAAGCATCCCCTTCTTTCCCGCAACCCGGCTCCATTCATAACCGCAGCCTCCAGAAGCTTTTTCTTTGCATCGGTATGCAAAGTGTAACTTGCCCTAGGCAGGCAAGCCCAGAGTCATCATATTTTATAAATCAATATGCACTTTTAAACACCCTCTCCTCAGTCAGCTATTTCTCTGTATACATGCACCCATGCTCATGTGCATACTTCAGCAGCCTTATCTGAGGAGGCAGTAGCTGATGATACCAGTTGTTCGCACACCATTCACAAATGGATCAGAGCTGCAAGAAGCTTGGAGCATTTTGTGCATGGACGCAAGACAGATGGATCCAGGTTTTCCCAGGCTTGCCATAGGGACTCATCTCCAATTAGAAACTTAATCTAAAGGGCGTTGCCTCAAGATCTAACTTCCCTGGGTTGTAGCTGACTGAGTGACAGAAAGCTCCTTCCAGATGGTGCAGAAAATGCTTGCTAAAACAGTTGTGGTAAAAACCTTGGTATCATCAGCTACTGCCTCCTCAGATAAGGCTGCTGAAGTATGCACATGAGCATGGGTGCGTGTTTCATATTCATTATGCCCTAGCAAAAGAAAACAGGAACAAGATGGATCTCAGAGATGAAGAGAAAATTGAATCGCAATTGTGCCCAGATCCAGATGTGTTTTTGGAACCTGGCAGCTCACGGGCACTCATACTACGGTATTACAACAGCCAACAAACGCAGTGCACAAAGCAAAAAGCGCTCTCAAGGATCTTCCTGATGTTGAAAGGGATCCAAGAACATACCTTTCAGGTTGCAGATGCCAAATATGCCTTGAATTGGTTGTGGACAGAAAACTCTCCAAGCAAAATGGTATCAAGCAGCTGTTTGTGAGCTGCAGTCTGAACAGTGAAAGGCTTTACAGAGGGCCACGTCCAGATAACACTGAACTAACTGGACCAGTGGTCCAACTCTCTAAAAGGCAGCTTCATAAACGAATCAGCAAAAGCCTGTTTCAAGACCAAAATGTCACATCACCTGGTGGAGCTGTGGAGACCCCATAGCCTTTCATTTCCAAGGCTAGGACACGGAAGCCGGCATCAGCAAGTGCTGGGATCTAAGACGGAACAACAGTATGAAAGTCGCCACAGAAGATATCACAGAAGATATCAAACTCAGATTCAATAGTAAAACACTTATTCTTCTCTTGCCACTCACTGCCTGGTTTCCCCCCCCCCCAAGTCATAATAAACGTTCCCCCACAATTGTGTGCAGTTTGGCCTCCGTCTCCACACCCAACTCATCACTATTTACTGGTTATCTGGGTTAAAAGGCTCATTCCAGACTCTAATCACAGTACAGTCACTTCTAGCAAGACAGATATAGCAAGTCCTGGACATTTATAGTACGGAATGGCAAATGACAAGAAGATCCCTCTTACGGGTTCTGTGCAACACTCTCCAGCTCCCCACCCCCACCCAGTCATCCTAAGATGCTCTCTTCATCTCCCACCAGCTCGTTTGAGTACTCCTCAGTGTGGCATGCATGGACACCACTGTGCCCACCAGTACTTCAGAAAGGGGGGTGGTACTGCATGGCACGTCCTCTCATTAACTGCCCTGATTCAAATGAAAGGGTTTTCCAAGGCTAAAATAATAGCCATGGCAACCAGAGGATCAGAAGGACCGGTGAGCACACCAGGGTTTTCCTTAGTCAGCATGTGGTTTCATCCCCCCCCCCCCGCCATCCCCCCATGGTTTTTTGGCCACCTGATTAACCTTCTCCTTGAACACACATGAAGGTGCCTTATACCAAGTCAGAGCCTGGTCTATCAAGGGCAGTACTGTTGGCTCGGAGTTTGATCCTCTTAAACTACAGGTTGTCAGAGACTGGACACGCAAAGAAGATGTTCTGCCACTACACCACAACCACAATTTTATTCTTCCTAGGTTCTCGGTTTGTAACAGATGGTATGCCACTCCCTTCACCCCGCCAAAATCAATACCTTTCCAAGTCTTGCTTAGGAGGACACTGGAGCTGATAGAACTCTCAATCTCTGGTGCACCGAGCTGGGAGAAGCTTTGTGGGAACATCAACAACCCCCCACTAAGGAAGTAGCCATGCTGCTTGACCCCATCAGCTACATGTAAGGATGATCCAGTCTGCTCCATTGGTAACCCTGATGCCCAACCACATACCCGATAGCAACACAGGGCAGGGGCGAGACTACAAAGAGATCCTATTGTGTGTAAGGATATCATCTTCATCTCTGCAAAGGTGCAAGCTGTCTTACCTGGTGACGCCAAGAGAACCAGGATTCTGGGAAGCCATGGCAGAGACAAACTGGAGGGCCGTTACCCAGCTCTACAAAGTGCAGCTGGGTTCCAGGCTAAGGGGGAAACAGAAAGTTTGGGTTATACCTGTGTGATGCCAAAACCACACATGTCTATAGGTCTCCAAGTTCATTATGACATTAAGTCATGCATGCAAATGTTTTAATGGAGGAGGTGGGGGTCAGGGCTTGAAGAGACATACTCAGTTGCTGACCAAGCCCAATATCTGCTTAGCTGGAAAGCTGGAATTATATCAGCTCTTACTCTGCGCTCTGCTTGGCTGCACAGAATATTAATAATAGCTCACAGTTCCTCAGGACCTAACTAAAGTGATATTTTTGAATATGGACTTTGCCCTAGTGCTTGCCAAGGGACCAGAGGGAGGGTTGGGGGGCGGAGACATGAGGGGACATGCTGGCATCATTTTGTCACTTCCAAGTTCAACTTGGAAGTGACAATGGGTAGCTCTAGGAAATGCCAGAAACTCTATGGTAAAACCATAGATTTGCCATAGATTCCTAGAGCTACCTGTTGTCACTTCCAGGTACACAGAAGTGACGTACCACAAAGAGACCAGCAGAATTTTTGTGTTCCACTGTTGCTCAGGGTGGCAGCAGGCAAAGCATCTGAGGGTCCGGCAGTCCAAATTTATGCTCATATCATATCATTAGCGCAGGAGAAGGGATTAAACTGCACTTTATTTTTATCGCCATCGAATGAATGCTTTATATTGACTTGTTTATGTTTTAAATGATGTATTTTATTCTATTACTGTAAAATGTATATTGCTTACCAGTTTTTGGAAGCTGCCCTGAGCCCGCCTGGCGGGGAGGGCGGGGCAAAAGTGAAATAAATAAATAAATAAATAATGACATGAAGATCTTAGAATGTATGAAAAGTCTCCCAGTTCAAAGGTTGCGTCGCATTCTGACAATCCTTCCCCCCCAAACCAAAAAACACTGGGCCCTTTGGTGAACCAGAAACAGCCCCAAACTTCAGATTTTAGTTGTTTCTAGGTGGCATGAAAGCCCTCAACACAGATAGCACTGACCAGTCACAAAACTGGCTGCAAGCCCTGGGAAAAAGGAGGAGACAAAGAAAAGCATACTATAAATATCCCCCTTTCCCCTTCACCTCTTTAAATGCACCAAACAGTGTGGGCTGCTGTCACAGAACCACATACCTTACTAAGGAGGAAGTTTAGAATCATTTCCCACCCATAAGCATTCCTTAGAGCACAGCAGAGGAGACAAGGAAACTCAGCTTTCTGCCTCCTTTGTTTACTTATGCAGCAAAAACACATCCCCAGTTTGGCTTGTTAAGAGCACATCAGTACAAAGAACTCTTTCACCCTCAACTAGCTGTTAGGATTCAGTTTAACAAGACCTGACTGCTCTTACCTTGATCGTCACATAGCCATGGGTTACATTTTCCGGATCACAGGGGGGTGGCAAGCTTTCTTGGCCAAGATGCTGTGTGGTAGACAGTTTAAAGAGAAGGAGACACATTTCAGATGTCATTCGCATACTGTGAGAGATACAGCATTCAGCTACTGTCACCTGGAGCCATTTGCAGCCAAGAAAGAGAAGGGTTTCCTCCTTGGTCTCTGTCTCTCCCAGGTGGCATGGGCCGTTCAGTGCTCTGCTCAAGTACCTTCTTGCAGACAGATTCAGCCCATGGTTTGCTTTTTGGAACGCAACTGGAACCAGGGCAGAGAGGGAACTGTGAGTTAGGAACCTAGGCAAGTGCCTGATCAGCTCACTGGCCAAGCTAGAAGACAAGCGAGGAAGCAGGGAAGAACGTGCTAGCTGGGTGACAGCAGCTGAAGAACATCTAGCTGAGTTTGTTCCTTCTCTGCTGTAGGTATTCAAAACCTGAGCTCCAGTGCCCTGGCTCTTCGCCGGAGAGTTGTACCCTACAATGAGCAGGAACATATGCCAGGTAAAGGGGGACAGAAAGACCTGATTTGTACTTTGAAGACTTCTCTCTCCCTTGCCTGTTGGCTCATCTGTATTACCAGCTGCTTTGGGTCCCCAGGGCGAAAAGCAGAATATAAATTGATATTTACTTCATTTATACCTCAACGGGGACTCAAAGCAGCTGACATAATTTTCTCCTATTTTATTTTCAGAACCACCCTGCGAGGGAGGTTAGGCTGAGTGTGTGAGAGGCCCAAGGTCACCCAGCAAGCAAGCTTCTGTGGTAGAGCGTCATTCATAGAATCACAGAACTGGAAGGGTCCACAGAAGCCATCTAGTCCAACCCCCCGCTCAATGCAGGATCAGCCTAGAGCATCCCTGACAAGCGTTTGTCCAGCCGCTGCTTCGAGACTGCCAGTGAGGAGGAGCTCACCACCTCCCTGGGCAGCTGATTCCACTGTTGAACAACTCTTACTGTCAAAACGTTTTTCCTAATATCCATCTGGCACCTTCCCGCCCTTAATTTAAACCCATGATTGCGAGTCCTCTCCTCTGCTGCCAACAGGAACAGCTCCCTGCCCTCCTCTAAGTGACAGCCCTTCAAATACTTGAAGGGAGCTATCATGTCCCCCCTCAACCTCCTCTTCTCCAGACTGAATATTCCCAAGTCCCTCAGCCTTTCCTCATAGGGCTTGGTCTCCAGGCCCCCGATCATCCTCGTCGCTCTCCTCTGTACCCGTTCCATCCTGATCTGCTCTTGCCTGCTGTGACCAGCAGTTACTCCCCACCCCACCCCGGTCTCAAGCAGAGACCTTTCCCAGTGCTGCAAATTCAGTGTGCTTCAAAGCTCAAACCTCCAACAGGAAGCTTAACACCCACAGAGAAGGGGAAATCGCTCACTGCCATGAAGGGTCTTCTACAGAGGCTCTGCTATGTATGCCACCACCTTCAGAAACAAAGTGGCTGGAGGCCAAAGCCAAGGTATTCTCTGCAGTGGCACCTCTGCTTTGGAGAGCCTTTCCCCCAGCAGGTCACCTGGCAGCAAGCTTGGTCAAGGATTTGGGTGCCAGATGAGAATTTGGTTCTTCTAACAAGTGCTGGCGACTCTTCTTTCCTATTCTTACCTTGGCTCTCTTCAGTGTGTCAGTAAGTTATTTTGCCAGCTGCTCTTTGGGAAAATTGCTTTAACGTAAGTGGATACCTCTGAGCTGCTTCATTTTGTTTATTGCTGTTTTTTTAGATTGTGTTGTGATCCACTATCAACTGCCTCAGGCAGTTTGCTACAGATTTTAATGGCGTGTATGGTGCAGAAGTGTTTCTAAGTAATGGCAACAGTCATGGTTGCAAAGCAGAGATGTGAACCCAGGAGTCATAAGGACAAAGCGGCCTTATACAGAGTCTAAAGGTCATTCATATAATGTACAATCTGATCCCTTTAACTGGAGATGGCGGGGGCTGAACCTGAGACCTTCTGCATGTTAAGCAAATGCTACACCACTCAACCCTGCCCTGCATCCTTTCCCCCAGAGTCCACCAGTGCCTCCATTATACCACCCTGACATCAAAATCCACATGGGCAGCTGGGGCACTCTCTTTCACTGGCATTTTAAAGCCTCCCTCTAGCACCTTGGAAAAGCAGTCTAAAAAAAGGCTTCCATAAAATAAAATATGACACAGTTCCTTTTCTTGTTATCCCCTTTAATTTCTCCTCTGGTATCTAAAACTTCTTGTTCTTGGGTCTCAATGGCCCCGGTCATACGGGCTGGAAAATGCGGGGGGGAAGCGTGGCTGTTTGCCCCGGGGCAAAATAACGCATGGTTGCACGAGCAGACGTCCCGTGTAGGTCCCGTGGTTAGGGGGAGGTGCCGATCACAGGACAATCCTGCGCCGCTGCAAAGAAACGGGGCCGCGGGGCAAACGGGGTTGTGTGGTTTTTTTAAAAAACTAAAGTGTGCGCATGCTCCGTTGGGTGCTTGTGCGCATCCGTGGAGACTTGGGGAAAAAAACACCTTTTTGCAAGGGGAAATGGGCGTGCACCGGAACTACCACCGGAAACGCGATCAGACGCCCGCCCATGCCCCGCGGTTTCCGGAATCTAGTACCTCGGAGGTACTAGTTTTTTACAGCGCATCTTCGGAGTAAAGCCTCGGGTGAGCCACAGGAGCTCTACGCTTCCCAGATGTGGCGGTGAGATCATGCCAGGAAAATCCGCCTATCTTCCATCTCTCTAGCGTGCCTAATGCCCTGTGTGACCGCAGCCCATGAACCTCTGCTTGTCCATTCTAGCACCCCATTTAGGGCACGATTCAAATTAGTCCTGTGCTGGGGCAGAGATGGCTTGTAACACACTCACACACTAAAAAGCACAATTCCAATCCAGTATTTGGAATGGTGTGCATCACTAAGCAGCTTTGCTTCCTCCACATACATTATCCCATTCGTATGCTTTGAACTTGATTCAATGCATGAGATTTTTGTAAACTTTGGAATGCAGTGTTGTGATAGTTAATGATTGGCATAGAATGCTGTTGCAGAAGGCATTGTTCAGTATTGAGTAACAGGGCATGCAGGGAGGGGAAAGAGACTAAAACCATGAGCTTCAGGAAAGGTGAGTTAGAAGGACTTTAAAAACATATACAAGAAGCCTCATCATACAGAACATGCAGTCCCATGTACACTTCAACCGCTAGTGCATCTTTGTAAACATATACACAGCAGTGAGGTTTGGAAGCTTGCACTTTTTTCTTTAAAAAAAAAGAGAAAGATCAAGGAGCCATTGAATTTCCACATTAAAATACACATAATGAAAGATATAAACAGTGTACTTAAGATGATCCAAATGGGCTAGACTTAATTCCCTGCTTTTCACTGAATATAGCTCTATCAATGGCTTTTAACCAGCAGGACCACACAAAACCTCTATGTTTAGAAACAGTATACCTGCGAATACCCATCACCTTCATTTTCTGTAGACAGACTGCTTTTGAGACGCATCCGACTGGCCACTGTGGGAGACAGGATGCTGGGCGAGTGATCCAGGAAGGCTCTTGGGCAGCCAACAATCCTGCCCCCCGACAGCGCCTTTTGAATTAGTTTTAAAGAACGCAGCACGAACCCCTGCATTTCCTGGAGTGCAAAGGTACAAGTCTGCTGCTCTTTGCAAAAGAGCCAACATTTGCACTACTGAGTGAACCATTAGCCATGGAAGTGAGTTATCCAGAGAAAGTCAAAGACAAACCAACTGGGGCGAAAGCCAAAGACAAAGCCGGTCTGAGATGAACATTGGCAAGGTGACGATGCCAGATGCTGCTGCATTCAGCAGTCCCGTCCAGCCCCTTGAAGCAGTTTACCCCCTTATCCTGTACAGGGTGCCCTACCATCAGCCTCTTCCCAAGGCTCATGACATTCTTTGTCACACAATGCTCGAAGCATTACCCACAACGAACAGGCGAAAAATGTGCAAGCTACATAGAACTCTTCATCAGTAAGGTGGGGGAAACAGCCACTTCCCTGCACAGCAACCAGTACAAAGAGGCATACTGCCCGTGAACCTGGATGTTTCTCTTAACAATCATGGACTACTCCTTGGCTGCCAAGTGTTGCAATTTCTTGATCATTGCAATTGCACCTTTCCTTCCTTCAGGATCTGCAAAGGTTCCCCCCACCCCTTTAGGCTACTACATGAACCAACCTTGCATGAGATCCAGAGAAACAGCCCCACAGCCAGGATTTTTTTTGAGGGGGGTTGCCAATTAAATGCCCCCAAGCTTCTTCCCCAGCCGTCTTGGCTCATTCCTCTGGGAGCGCCTTTTCCCCAGAGCGAAACAGAGAGGATTGCATTAAGCCCTTGGGCTGGAGAAGAAAAGGGAAAGCAAGCAGGAGGAACAGTCCCCTTAGCAGCGGAAGCAGGCAAAAGTGAGCCAAGATGGGGTGAGGAATAGGCGGCAGTGGTGGCGAGCTGGTGGAAGCTCTGCCTGCACAAGCTGCGTGGCATGGAGGGCGCTGCAAATTCAATAGGGGGCACTGCCCTCAGCACCGCACTGCTGGCTATGGGCCTGCAGAGAGCCTCGCCATTCTCAGGGCTAGTCACTCCATCCACTCACCTGAATCCCAGTCAAATCTTGCAGCTCCTTTAGCGCAGAGTCAGCATCTCGCACAAGGATGGTGGCCATTCCCATCTCCCGAGCAGGCTTCAAGTTGGCACCAATGTCATCCAGAAGTATCACCTAGATTGAGGAAGCAGTCGGACTCAGGCATCAGCTGACAATCTTTCTTGAACGGCTTATCCAGAGGGCTCCCTGCATCCTTACCCTACTTCATTCAAGCACTTATTCACACTTAGGAAAACTGTCTTGCTAGCCTCTATGAGTGATATTTCACTGAGATTTATAATGGCAGAGTCTTCTATGAGGAAAAGAGGAGGGATTAAATGATGAGAAGGAGTCCTGCAGGTACTCAAGCCTCCCTCCTCTGAACCTGATTCAGGGGTCCTTTGAGATTGAGAAGGAAGCCCCCACATGATTCCCGAGCATATGCTGTCAGCCATGAGGACTAGAAACTCACTCTTTGTCCAGAATATCAACTCAAGTTTGTCAGGAGACTGAAACAGATACCCAGTCTTTTTTGCCCTGCCCTGGATGACCCAAACTAGCCCAATCTTGACAGATCTTGGAAGCTAAGCCAGGTCAGCCTTCATTAGTATTTGGATGAGAGACCACCAAGGAAGGCCAGGGTCGCTACATAGAGGCAAGCAATAGCAAGCCAATTTTGAACGTCTCTGGCCTTGGAAACCCTACGGGGTCAACATAAGTCAGATGTGACTTGATGGCGCTTTCCACCACCAGATTTAAGGAATATAGCTGGCAACAGTCAGCTAATTCTCTCTACAGGAAACCAGTAAGACCATCTTGCAACAGACCACCCTCCAACCAGTCAGTCCCTCATGGGGAACCATTGTTGCCAATCTCCTCCAGGTGAGGGCTGGAGACCACTCGGAATTACAACCGCTCTGCAGAAGGGAGGGCAGAAGTCAGCTGAAGTCAAAGGGGCAGATAATGGTAGGTTGATAGTTAGCTGGGAAGGAGATGGGGTTGCCAACTCCAGGCTGGAAAATTCCTGGGGATTTGAGGGGTGGAGCATGGAGAGGGTGGGGTTTGTGGAGGGGTGGGACCTCAGACAGGTAGAATGCCATAGACTCCACCCTCCAAACCAGCCATTTTGTCCTGGGTAACAATTGTTGCCAATCTCTAGGTGAGGGCTAGAGATCACTCAAAATTACAACTGCTTTTCAGGTAGCAGAGATCAGTTCCTCTGAAGAAAACAGTGGACTGTCATTATACCCTGCTGAGGTCACCACAGCAAATTGACACTGTTTGCCCAAAGCCAGAGCACTCTCCCAGAGCCTCTTTCTAGATCCCGTTGTATTTATTGCCACAACGGGCCTTATTTCTAGTTTCACATAATCCAGTGTCTTGGAATGCCTTGCAGTCAGCCATTACTATCCCAATTTCTTTAAGGGGAACAGGCAAAGCTGGCACTGGATTGGCATGGCTGGAAGTCCACAGCCTGCCAGAGGGCCCTGACCACAAGCACTGCGTGACTCCACCATTTCCCAATGGGAAAAATTCCTAATGGGAGTAGGGGAAACCAAGATCCAAAATTCCTTGGAGGGAGCAGAATAGCAACTCTCCCATGGTTTTTGGCAAAAGGAATGCGCGAATGTTGCACTCCACTTCCCCCAGAGAAGCTGCAACAGAAATGTAGGTAGAATCATGTATGCAATGGAAAAGCCTATGGACACTCTGGAAATAAGAGCCAACTTACAACCAGGACAGATATTTGATATGAGGATCTGAACACAGATCTCACATATGTAAGCCCAGTTCTCCGCCCACATTGGCTTCACTCAGGATCTCAAGCCATCTCTAGTGGTCTCACTTCCACTGTACCTCATAAGGAGCAACTCCATATCTCTCTGTCACTCAGAAAGGAATAAACCAGCCCACTTCCACAAGAACGAATAAATTGAGAAAGCAGCGTGCAACTTGCCTCCTGAGCTTTTGCCTTCAGCACCTCCAGGGTATACTCATAGATCTTGGGATCTGGTTTCTGCAGGCCAATGCGACAGGATTCAATCACTGCATCAAAGTACTTCCGCAGCAGACAGAGGACAAGTGCTGTTCTGTGGCGCTGGGGGCTGTCGTCAATCCAGTTGTTTGTAAGGACAGCAATCTTGAAACCTGAAATGTTGGGTGGAGGGGGATCAGCTGGCAATTCAATAGAAATGAAGGCAGGGGCAAGTAGACCCATGATTTCCGTGCTGTCTGTATGGCAAGGAGAATGTCCGTTCTGCCCCCAAAGTTAGGCACAGAATGTACATTGGTTCTTTCCATGCAGAAATGTATCTTCTAATGACACATTTTGCATGCACATACATATAAGTGGGCTGAGAACTTCACTCATTGAAAGATACATGAAAACAAATAATCTGGTCACTTAGGTTAGAAATGGGCCAGGTTCTCTTGCAATGAAGTCTTACACAGTCCTGCTTTGACATTCTCAAGAGTTCTACATTATGAACTCATTGGAAACACACTGGCTATATCCATTCTTAAGTGAACATATATATGGTCAAGCATAAGGTAATTTTTTCATTTCTTTGAATTTGTCCCTCATTTCTTAACTTCCCACGTATAAGCATGTCACACCATTTATTTCTATATCCCTATGTTTTACAAACAAGTTTTGCTCGCTTTAATAGAATCAAGTTGCAGAATACTACAATAAAAAGTTACAAAAAGGACTAGGGTTACCTCCCCAATCTGTAATTCAAAATTCAGTGCACATCCTGATCATAAGAGGGTGAACGCAGAAGAGTTTATGTACCTCCCAAGACTCCTACAACACAAACACCAGCTCCCCAAACCCCCCTATATTTCCTAACACTATTATGTCTTCACTCAGAGATTTACAAGGGACAAAACAGCAAATGTACCCCCAGTTTGCCCCCGAGTATCCCTTTCAACAATGGAAACCACCATTACCATTGTTTTGCAGAGTCAGGGCAGCCCGCAGAAGAGGCGAGTCCAGTAATTCTTCATTTGTCATGGCCTCAAAACCCTGAGCAACAGAGAACTTGTCTGGGAGGGAGAGTCCAGAGGCAGCCGCCACCTTCTTGCAATCTTCGTCTAACTCTCCCATAAGCTGAATTAAGCACATCAAGTTAAAATGTATTAGAACTAAAACAAAAAACTAAGAGGTGGGGGGAAAATATAGGGAAGCCCATTTTCAGATACATTTAGAAGAAGAGCTGTTTTTTTTAATAACCTGCTTTTCTCTACCATAACGAGTCTCAAAGTGGCTTACAATTGCCTTCCTTTCCTCTCCTCACAACAGGCACCCTGTGAGGTAGGGGGGACGGAGAGAGTTCTGAGAGAACTGCGATTGGCCCAAGGTCACCCAGCAGACCCTAAGAAAGGTAAGAAATTGCCAGCTTTGGAAGACTGATGAAAGATTGGGACAGGGACTTCTCTCAAAGACCATCTACCTTGTACGTTTCTCCAGAGAGCTCATAATGATGTCTCTAAGCCTAATCTATTTCATAGTGTTGTTGTGAGAATAAAATGAGGGAGAGAGAACAATCTAGACCATCTTCCATTAAGTTTTTGAATCCTTTTATTGGAAACTCTGGAAATTAAACAAGTCATCCAGATACGGATGTTTATAACTGGTTTTCCTTAATTTGTAAATGGCTTGCACTCTACCACTCCACTAAGCAAAGTCTGAAGACTCCCCCAGCATAAGTGTCTCTTCCTCTAATGGAAGGAAGCACTTAGGTTGGAAGGATGGCTCCTTAGGCTGGAAGAAGTTCCTCTACCCTTGAGAGCATCCAGTGTGTTTGAAATTTATATATATTGTTTTGATTGTATGAAATCGCATTCTACAAAATCAGAATTTTTTTTAAAAGGTTAGACAGAGAGAAGGTGACTAACTCATAGTTACACCGTGAGGTTGATGGGAAAGTTGGGATCTGAACCCAGGTCTCCCAGCTTGCCCCCCAGCACACTATACCACCTCTATTACTGGCACAGACCTACCAGCTCTATCACTGCTATCATATGGGATAATCTGGGTCTGCCTCACAGCAAAGGCTTAAGCCTCTCTGGAGCTTTTTCAATTCCTACGACCAGACAGGCCATTGAATCGAAGTAAGACTCATGGTCCACCAAGCTTGATATGCTTCCTAAGAATGGCCTGCATCTTTTTGGGTCAGTACTGTGCCACCCAGGCTGATCTGGGAAGGGAGAGGTTATGTTTTACACACAATTAGTGAAATAATAAAATTAAGGGAGAGTTAAATCATTTTAAGGGAGCTGTGGTGGCTCAAGTGGTTAAGACGCTGAACTGCAGGCTGTGGAAGGTCGGTAGTTCAACAGCTCGAGACCTGGGTGCCGCATGACAGAATGAGCTCCTGTCTCTAGTTCCAGCTCCTGCCAACCTAGCAGTTCGAAAGCAAGACATTGCAAGTAGATAAAGAGGTACCACTTCAGTGGGAAGGTAACAGCGTTCCGTGCGCCTTGGTTTTTAGTCATGCTGGCCACATGACCATGGAAACGTCTTCGGACAGCGCTGGCTCTTCGGCTTGGAAACTGAGATGAGCACCGGAACCCTAGAGTCGGATTCGACTGGCTTTCGAGCAAGGGAACCTTTACCTTTACCTTAAATCATTTTAAACAGACATATAAACACGCAAACATGTCAAGCAGAATCAAAGTGGCTGGAATGTCTTTCAGCTCCTCCGTCCCCCTGGTTTTGTGTGACACCACGAGTAGTATAAAGAGCCTGCCCAACGCAATCCGGTACCTTCCTAACCCCAAATCTGCACCAAATCCCAGCCTTGCCATCACAGATCCTGTGAAACTGGAGGGATTAGAGCTAGAACCACCACAGGTGTGGACAACCAGCAACTCGACAACTGACCTCCCCCTGCCCCCCCAAGATAGAGTCTTACCTGAGTCAGTCCAATTTGACCAAGCATTGCTCTGGAGAAAGGCCCATCCTGCCCTCCTTGCAAAAAGACATCTTGGAAGAAGCGACTAGAAGACGAAAGTTGAAAAACAAAGTTAGGACTGAAGATGGCCACACTTCAAGTGCTGCTTGGGCCCAGCGCACAATACTAGTTTCCTGAAAACTGCGCAGGGAGGGCGGAAGCATCTCCACGTTTTATGTAGCACACAGCTGCAGGGACACCAGCATACAACCAGCATTTTCCAAAGCAGGCAAGCGATATGTGGGCAACATGCCTCCATCTTTCTGTGCCTATATATGGGAACTCTGTACATGGACCTATCAAGGCACAAAGCTGAGAAAGAAAGAGATGGGGGAAACATGACTGCCTTGCTATGCGAGGAAGAAAGATGAATGAAGGACACCCAGAGGCCATTCCTCTTCAACCAGAAGAAGAGAAAGGCTAGGCAAAACCTCACACAAGGCCTTGAGATGGGAGGAGCTGTGTGAGGTTGGCAGGAAAGCGGCAGGCCATAAGAGGTTTGGACTCTGAGCGTGGAGGGGGGGGGGAAACAGCCCAGCGAAAGGGGTCAATTATGTGCCAATCAAAGCCGTGCCAGCCAGCTTTGTACTGTGAACCAAGTTTGAACTTTAAAGCTACAAAGATCTGCGGCATCACTAATCTAATCAAAAATACTTTAGCACACACCTATTTATTTATCGTCTTTACTGTTTTTTGCAACCGGAGTCAGAAACAGTAAAATTAGCGCACACATAAGAACAGCCCAGCTTGAGCAGAGTGCTTCGTTTCTCACAGTGACCAACCAGGGAACGACAAGAAGCTCAAACAGAGCATGAAGGGAATTGCCTCCCCTCAGAGCTTGCTTTTTTTTTTTTTAATAAAAAAAAGAGGTGGCGGAACTCTCCAGAGGGAAATGAAGTTTTCAGTCTGTATACTGAAAACTCATGAACTTTTAAGCATCTTTAAAAGAATTTTGTCAAAATGTTCCAGAACATTCTGACACATTCCCCCAGAAAAAAAAAGACCTGGCTTCCCCACACTGTTCCTTTCCTCACTGGAAGTGTGCTCTGGTTAGTCCCTGGACGACTTGGTTGACATTGTTCGGCCCCCTTGCCATCTCTATAATTTGAAATGGGGTGACCGGAAAATGTATGCTGTATTTTAAGTGCAATTCCATCACAGGTTTATACAACAGCATTACAATAATGGTTGTCAAATCTTCCAATGCTAATAAATGCAAGCATAAGGTTTATCTCTAGCTACAGCCAAACACTGAGACAACACTTTACTGATTTATCTCCTGTAACCTCAAAATTCCTTCCCTGGTCATTTACTGCCACTTCAAATCCCATTCAGCATACTCATGAAGTTAGGATTTTGTGCCCCATTATGGATTACACTGAACCACAATTGCAATAAAACATTTTGTTAAGAGCATATTAGCTAGAAGAGTTCTAAAATCTTTCTGGAAGCACAAGATTGGCTCGTTTCAGTGGTAAAACAAAAAAAAAAATGACAGCCTCACTCTCCCTCCCTTCCATTTTCTTTTAAGACTAAGCCAATGTGAAAACTTTCCATCATCAAGTGCCCTAATATAAAGAAAAAATGGGCTATACATTGAATGGTCTCACATACCATCTTCTAAACAAGATAATACTTTCTAATCCTTTGTAATTAAGGCAGTATCACTATCAGTTTGACCCAAGATCTGCTCCTGGCTGCATCTTGGCTACATTTATTGTTATGAAAAGTAGCTGCCATTTCTCCACAAACTTGCTTAAGGCAGCTCACAGTGTAAGAGCAAACACAGTAGCACCCACCACCATGTGCAAGCTTCTATCCTTTTCACCTGGCATTTAATTCCTTGCCACCCCTGTAGGAATGTTTTGCAACTCTGTGGTGCCCAGATCTTTTGTGAATGTTGTGAAAGCGTAAGAAAAGCTCTGCTGGATCAGACCAGTGGTCCATCTAGTCCAGCATCCTGTCTCACACACTGGCCAACCAGTTCCTCTGTCTCACACACTGGCCAGCCACTTTGGTGTAGTGGTTAAGCGTGTGGACTCTAATCTGGGAGAACCGGGTTTGATTCCCCACTCCTCCTCTTGCACCTGCTGATGTGACCTTGGGTCACATCAGCACAGATCTTCCTGAAAGAGCAGTTTGTCTCAGCCCCACCTATCTCACAAGGTGTCTGTTGTGGGGAGGGGAAGGGAAAGGAGTTTGTAAGTCGCTCTGAGACTCCAAGTGAATCCAATCTCTTTTCTTCTTCTTCTTCTTCTTCTCTGGAGGGCCAGCAACATTGTCAAGTGCCTCTGAATGTGGAGGTTCCCCCTCAGCCACCATGGCTAGTAGCCACTGATAGACCTGTCCTCCACGAATCTATCTAATCCTCTTTTAAAGCTGTCCATTCCGGTGGCCTTTACTACATCCTCTAGCAGCAAATTCCACATTTTAATCACTTCTGTGTAAAGTAGTATTTCCTTTACATCCTGAATCTACTGCCTATCAGCTTCGTTGGATGCCCTTGAATTCTAGTACTTTGGCAGAGGGAGAGTAATTTCTCTTTGTTAACTCTCTCCACCCCATGCATAATTTTATAAACCTCTATCATGTCCCCTCCTTAGTTGTCTCTTCTCTACACTGAAAATTCCCAGACTCTTCAGCCTTTCTTATAAAGAAGGTGTTCCAGCCCCCTAATCTCCTCGATTGCCCTCTTCTGTACTTTTTCCAGCAGAAGGGGAAGGGGAAGGGGGAAGAGGAGGAAGATTAACTGCCTGATCTTGTTTTATTTATACCCTCCCGTTCAGATAAGAATTGCTTACCCAAGCAGCTCATATCAATCAAAGGAGACAGTCACCTGCCTTTAGGGCTACAGACTCAAGAGACAAGGTATATCAGGGAAGGAGAATGGACAAGGGTGAAGTTCATCGTAAGGCAGCCCTTGCAATCAGAGCAAAGGCTCACAGAGCCCAGTATCCTATTTCTACCATTAGGCAGTCAGACGCTTCTCGGAAGCCCACACATAGGCCCCGGGCAAGAAGAGCCTACTCCTTTTGGCCTCTAGCAATTGTTATTCACATACACGCCACCTATGACAGTTGCAGGCCCTAGACAGCACAATCTTTTATGCCACCAGGGCTTGCGGGCACAGAAGCTACCAATGCCTACTCTCGAGGGCTAAAGAGATTTCAGCAGAGCATACACAGCCCTAAAGGTATATATTTGCCTGCCCATCTGAAAAGTACACAGACAGAGAGTGATTTCAGCAAAGCGTACTTTATTCAATCAGGAACAAGACAACTTTGGCCGGCTCGCAGGCCGGCTTATATTTCCCCAGAAACCACCACCCAAAACACACACACCCCACTTCCCAATAGGTTATTTACAGTGGCCAAGAGTCCCATTGGCTTCTCGGCCAGGAACCTAGCCCCCTGATTGGAGCGGGCCAGGATCCGCATAGTCCATTGTCTCTTGGAGCGAAGCTAGACGGTTGCCCCTGGACATGTCTGGACTTGTCTGGACTTGATACACTACAACATCCTAAAAGCGCTTAACTCCTTTATTTTGGAATGGAATGAAAGCCCAGAGGAAATAGCAGCACAGACTTTAGCATAGACATCTTGTCTCTAAAGATCAGGGCATAATTCCTATATGAGCTGTTAACTTCTTCTGCCACTCCATCCTATGTGCCTTGTCAACTAGTTAATATCGCTGAAAAGAGCTGGCCAGAACGATCAACAGACTGCCACACTCCCTTACAGAGGAAGCTCTTTAATGAAAACTCAAAGCCCTCAAAGCCAGAGAGTAAATACCACTTTGACACCATGTTCCTCTAGACTGAGAACACAAAGATTCACGAGAAGCAGCTGGCCATCCCCATAACAGTTAAGCACAAGCACTGGATCGTCAGAAGAGGGATTAAGGTTTCAGGGACAGAACTGCAGCCCAAAGTGCATCCTGTATTCTTCTCGTTTCCTCTAAGGGCAGCGGCGGGGACAGGGACAGACCAGAAGGTGTCATCTTCAAACAGACAGACGCAGTCCGTTCCTAGGGAGATGGGACAGCCTGTCTTGATGATACCCACAAGGGCTGGCATTCTAGAGAATATACCATTCTAGAGAAGCCTTAAGAACTAGGGCATCTGGATTTTCATCCCAGCCTCCTTGGGTGATCTTGTTAGGCAGCAAAAAAACAAACAGGAGCCTCTTGGTAGATTTTATTCTGCTGATAAACCTTCCAGGGTCTGGATTTCCTTCGGGGTGATGGCGGAGAAGGTGGGGAGGGAAATCCTGCATCAGCTGTGGAGTCACTTGATGTGCTCAAGGCACACCAGCTATTTTTCAGTCTCTTTCCCAAAAGGAAACTGTAACAAGGCACAGGACTGATGTAACAGTGAACTAGAACAAAGGGACTTTGTGACTGGTAAAGGAACTTCTACAAGCGACTCCAGTAATGGGCCTTTTGTCTCCAATTTGGGATTTTAATTTTGTAGATAAAGCATACAGGATACCATGCAGACAACTTTGACCCCATCTGACCACTAGAAGCCAAGTCAGCCCGAGGGAACTGCACTTTCCTTTTGCCTGCAAACAGGCAGGTTTTGACACACATCATTAGTGGGGTCTTGCTTTGGGGACCACTGAAAGGCATGGCAAGCGGTCTTTCTCCTAGAGGGGCACAGCCTGCCTCCAACCTGGATACGGCAAGCAGGGTCTTGCTCAGAGCAAATCTGCTTAAGATCGGAACTGGTGCCACAGGAGTCCAATGGGATGTCACTGCTGCACAATGGTGGGAAATACAAAGAACTATTTACACAGGCTTGTGGAGAAGCATCACATTACCATCAACGACGACTATTAATATCTGTGGGGGAGGCTGGCTGCAGTGAAATCGAGCCAAACCGCCCAGGAGAATGTAATCGCCTGAGCCTGCATGACACGTCACGCCATCTTGGTTTCTAATTACTGAGTGCACTTTATTCGGCAATTGCCGATTGTTTAAATGTTTTAACAGTGTTAAATGTTAAGTTTTAAATGTTTTAACTGTATATGAATCTTGGCACATTGT